GCATGGAATCAGTCTGGTAGTTAAGGCAGTGATGAGGTGATTTTTGAAGGCAGATCAATATTTCCTCTTGGATTAGACACTTGGGGCAGGGGGTGGGAAGAGAAGTCAAGGAAGCATCTATGCTTTTTGACTTGAGAAATGAAAAGAGTTTCCATCTGTTGAAATTACAATGGCTGTGGAAAAAGCAAATTCGGACTATGGGTGTTGAGAATCTAGCGGTTCTCTTTTTCATTTGGTGGTCAGGAAGATATTGATGTGGAGATGTGGAATCCTCAGTTGTATATCTGAAGGAGGAACTTCAAGCTGGAGGTCTAGATTCAGGAATCAATGGCATATGAATCCCATTTAAAGCCATAAGACAAGATGAGATGACCAATACAGTGAGTGTGGGCCAAAAAGAGATGTGCAAGGATTGGGCCTTGACGCAGTGACGCAGTAACGCATTTATAGATTGAGGAGCTGCGAAGGTGGCAAAGGAACAGCCAGAGGTTTTAGAGGATAAACAGGTTAGTGTGGCAGCCACGTTGGTTTTGGGGTTTTTTTTGAGGGGGGGCGGGTAGGGGGGATGGAATAGTGTCAAAAACTGCTGGTGGGTCAAGATGAGGATAAATAATTATAATTGGTAATTGGATTTAGTCGCATGGAGCTTATCGAAGACCTTGACAAACACACATTCTATAGCGGGGCATGACAGATGGATCAGAACAAATACGAGAGAACGGAGAAGCAGATCCGAAACAAGAAGGATGTAGGTCTTTCCTTCTGGGAAGCGAAGTTGGTAGTCAGAGATTTTTTCTGTTGAGGAGGTTGGGGGTTGAGAAACCGTGCTGCTGGGCCTGGGGAGGGAGGGAAAGTGGTGATGCACGAGAGAAGAAGGACTAGCTGGGGCCATGGCGGAGGAGCAGGCCTCAGAGAGCGGCCTGGTGGGCCTGGAGTCACAAGAGAGGAGGCGCTGATGCTACCAGGGAAACGAATCAATCCGGAGCTAGTGGAGCTTCTGCTTCAGAGAGCTGCCTGATTGTGCCTGGAGAGGAGGCGCTGATGCTACCAGGGAAACGAATCAATCCTGAGCTAGTGGAGCTTCTGCTTCTTTCCCCTTTGGTCCCTCTGAAGGGCGAAGTCAGGTCATCGCTGAGGGTAAAGAGGAGATGGGGTGTGGGAAGTTTGGGAAGAGAAGAAGGGGAAAAAATGTAGAAAAAGTCTCAAATACTATTAAGGGCTCACTGAAGTTCCTGACAGCTGACGTAGGTTGGAGTAAAGTAAATATTCCCCTCAGGCATGTGATTTTTCTTCTAAAGTTAAAAATATCTTCATCTTGTGCAAACAAACAAACAAAAATCCCTTAAAATGCTAGATATTATTGCCACAGGTGGTGGAGTTGGCTCCATATTGACATAAAACTATTGTCACCCATGTGCCAGGGTGACATTCTCTAGAACAGGGTGTCAAACTCAATTAAAATGAGGGCCATTTGGTACAACAGGCAAGATTCACGTGGGCTACATCACATTTACAAATTTTGTTAAATTTATATTTTGAAGTGAGGAATATGGACAGGATAATTAAAACACTATATAATTGCTTTTATTTAAACATTTATTTTAGTTAATGTATTAATAAGACTAAAATTATTCTTTTTTACCCAAAACTTTCCAGCGCTTTCCTACTACTAGTTTTCACTTACTTCCTATGTTGTGACCTGAAAATATAACACGTAACTAATAAAAAACACCAAATGTTGGACAGCTGACAAACGTGATGCACGATCATAATGGCTTCCCTCTAAAAATGTTCACTAGTGCTGCCGCTAGGTGTGATTCGTAACATACCATACCAGAGTGCTCTTTTTAACCTTTTCGCTATTGGGATCTGTTTCCATTACGTGACACTGAGAGTGGCAGACATATCGCTTTCAGACATCGCAGGAACTGAGTCAGCGCGTTTATGCGCATCCACAGGCCCCCCAGAAAGGCACTGGGCCACGTGTGTACTCGTCTTCAGTAGCTAAAGGGTTAACGAGGGAATTGTGTGGATGGTATTGCCTCAATCTCCCCTATACGCTATTTTCCTCATAACGATTTATTCTATTTTCATTTTATTTCAGAGCATCCAAGGCCACAAAAAATTGCCTTGGGGGCCGCATGTGGCCCATGGGCCGCCAGTTTGACACTCCTGTCCTAGAACATTGAGCTAAGTTCTCTCAACGGAATGCAAGCAAAAATAATGACTCACTCTTGAGCCAGGAGATGAGGTGACCTGGCTCCAAGCACAGTCTGGAGCCCTAAAAAAAACACGGGCAGAGGAACAAACTAGAAGGAACTTGGGGACATGAATAACTGTGGAGCCAAACCACTCACCAATGGAGAAAATCTAACGCCTAAAAACCGGTCACCTCATGGCTATTACATAGCAGAGAAGTAAGCTCCTGTTTTCTTTGTGCTATTGCATTTTGAGGAGCATACTAGTGCATAGTGGCTATTTACTGGACTGTGAACTGCAGAGTCAGGAGTTCAAAATCACCAGTCGCTCTGAGGGAGAAAGATGAGGCTTTCTACTTCAATAAGGAGTGACAGTCTCAGAAACCCACCGAAGCAGCTCTGCCTTAGGCTGTTGTGAGAAGGAATGAACTGTTTGGCAGGGAGTTTTGTTTATTATCTGAAACCACTGCTTGTTGAGTTAATTCAGACTCAGGGGGACCCTATCTCTAGTATTCTCACTTATAACAAGCTCCCTAAGTGATTCCTATTCACACTAAGTAAGTAGCAGTCAAGGCTAAGAATATGAGCAGGACTCGTTTTGTTGATTTCATATTTGGTTTGGAGGAGAGGGCTGATGTCTAGCCTAGGATAGTCTTCACTCAAAACGGGTAACCTCATGGCGGCGCATCAGTGTAAAAAAGTAGAAAAGGGGCACGTTCTTACACTGGATGGAAAGCGGAAACCATTGCAAGCGGGTGGTAGGTTGACCTCACTTTCCTCTCCAGTTCTACTTTGTCCTGTTGTTGAGATCCTACAATTTCTTGTAAGAATAAACTCACTGTAATTATCTTAGTCCCTTGGATGCGTATGGGAATCAATAGGTCTCATTTTTAGAATTATGATTCAGTATGTCTAGCATGGGACATTTTACTAGGCATCCAAATGATTCCACTGTAGTGGTTTGTGGATCACCCTTTGAAAATTCTGCCAAAGAGACTGCTAAGAAAGACTCGAGAATATTACTGTGAGTATGCTCAATACATGGTTTAGAAGAAATCATTTATTATGAACATTCTCAGATCCTGGAAAAATTAACTATGACTGATCCGAATTTGCTACTAAACATTTGAAACCAAACACAAGAAGATTTTTTTTTACCTTAGCTTGGATTTCCATTTTCAGAATCGATCCAATGATTGTCAATATATCACTAATAATAATCATAATGTACCATCCATTGACAAATTCCATTTGATCAGAAAAGGACACTGCCTTCTTATAATGGAGGTGGAAAAAATTGACAAATTCCTTAAGGGACAAGAAATGAGATCTACAGTGAGTTTCTCTGCCAAGCAAAGTGTCCATGCCAGTTAGCAACAATCCCTACCTGCTGCAGTTGAAGCCCCCTGATCACAGACCGGACACAGAGGCTGAGCGAGGCCAAGCAGGTCAGGATGACAAAGGCATCGAAGATCATCATGTAGTGAGTGTTCTTCTGAACTGAGAGGAGAGACAGTGAGCTATGTCAGTAACAGGACACGCATATGGTGACAGCCACTACTCTTCTTTCAGGCTAATGTCGATGATTCCCACATTCTTTCCGTAAGGCAGCAAAGAGAAGCTCTTCTGATGGATGTGCTTCCAACTGGTATCTTTCTCCTGCAGTAGATTCAAACTGCTCCACACTGATCGATAGATAAAAATACCAAAGATCACTTCGTACTGATTCATCCTATGAATGTTTGCCAAGGGGAATCTAATTGCAACATGGATGTGTGTCTACTTTTAAAAAACTGGAAAATTAAGAAACAAATATATGAAAGAAAGCCTGTGTGCCAGACACTTGAATATGCTCCCTGCTCCCTCGTCTAGAGTTTGTGGAGGCCCAGAAACCCTAAAGCAATGTTCATCTGCATTTGGTCTGAATAAGGACAACCTACGCATCCTGGACTGGAGGCAATGGTGTCTCAGTGGTAAATTCTCACCTGGCCTGTGCATCCCTCGCAGAGATAGCTACCACCTATCTGTCAGTGGGGGTGTGTGTGTTGCTATGACGCTGAACGAGGTCCAG